ATATGGATGTAAGTAAGCATAATCACGATCTAATTTATTTACAAATTTTTGTGTTGAAATCAAACGTTCGAAGTCGTGTTTAAAAGGTTCTTTATGATTTATGCGAGCGTTGAAAAGCCAAAATGTGTGAGCGTGTGTGTGTGTGTGCCAAGAGCTTCTCACAGTTTGGATCAATTGATGGACATCGTTGCAGCTCAGCCATCCTAGTAGATGCTATGATGAGCAATTGGCATCCAGCTGCACAAACTCTGGATAGTTCGGTTTTTTTTCTTCATTCAATTGATGGGCATTGTGCCCGAATGGCAGGCTAATCCTAATGTATCCAGGTTCTATTCAGCAATTGCTGTGAAACGTTAATTTAGATTTATGGCTCAAATCGCGACTAGCTTGATGCATGATGCAACAGGCAGGTAGGCAGGCAGGTAGGTTGGCCGTGCGACTGCTCCAAACAGACGCAAATGGGCAGCTGTTGCATGTGGCACATTTGTCATGCAGCAGATCGTGTGCTCCAGCCGCTGCTGCCTGATGGGATTGCGACTACAAGAAAAATCGCTGCTGCCTGGAAATACTAACAAATTTATATGTAATGAAAGCTACTGACACACACTTTGATGCCCTTACCAAAAATCATAAGAAATCAAAGTTAAAGCTAAGGATTTTAAATATTTAGCAATAATATTCACTTAAAATGAAGAAAATGAGACTGAAAATACACACATACAACCATATATACATATATACATATATACATATACACACGCACACATGCATACTCACATACTGTCACTTGCAATTAAGAGAGCAAAGCGGAGTAAGCAAATGAGCCAAGCCACCCATCTCTTTTAAGCGCCCTAGGATTATGACATTTGGGATTCTCGCTCATTGAGAGTGCGAGAGAATACGAGAGACTAGCAAATTCGAATTTGAGGTGAACTTGTTCAAAAAGTTGCCTTTAGCTGTTCCATCTCTAAGTGTACTGCCCGCTCTTCTCCCATCGCTATGTTAGGGCAGCCTGCAAAAATGTTGATAAATTAGTTGATTTCGTTGATTGCGAGGCGGCGGCGGCAAACGTTGCATTTGCTGCAACCGCATGCCATGTCACAGCCAAATAAACATATCAACATGATAAATATGCGACCCATAAGCAACATCAGTTATCGGACAGTGTCCGGGCTACACGCAAAGCGAAGGACAAGCGCATAAATCAGTTGCGTTCTTTTTTTTTAATCGCTGATTTCCGCTTCGCTGGAAACGAAAACAGAGCCTCAAACTGGTTTGCCATTTCGGAATGAGGACGAGCGCCCGTGGCATGGTCGAATAAGCAGAACTATACAGGACGGCCCTCGTACACTGCACAAAACTGTGGCACAGTTGTTTACATTTTAAATGTTTACTAAATATTACATTGTTTATTAAAATACACACATTTCAATTAGCTGTTTTTGTTTTTTTTTTCTGGTTGTATTTATCGCAAACTCTGCACACTTGTTGATCTGGTTGTTGTTGTGGTTGCTGTTGCTCTAGTTAAACAGTAAAACTTAATTTTACAAAACCTTTGCCTCGGAGAGATCGTCCAAGGGCTTGCTGGGTGGCGGAATCTTGTATTCCGTCTCTGGGGTCTCATAGATCTTCTCCTCCTTGGGCTCAACGACAGACACATTGTCTGGCAGTGGCTTCTTGGGACCAATCTTGTTCTTGGGATCGTAAGGCAACATGATCTTAACCTTGATACCAAGCACGCCCTGGCGCAACAGAACGTGACGTGTGGCAGTCTCGACATAGTCGTTGCATGGATCACCGGAGTGAATCATGAGTCCATCGACGAACTTCATCGACTTGGCACGCTGACCACGCAGCTTGCCAGAGACAACAACTTCACAGCCCTTGGCGCCGGACTCCATGATGAAGCGCAGCACACCATAGCAGGCACGACGCACAGCCAGACCACCAGTCAGCTTGTAACGCAGAGACTCAGCCTGAGCAATGGCGCAGAGACCACGAGTGGCGACCTTCTCGGCGTACAGTTCAATGCGGCCGGTTTCGAAGTTGAAACGCTTCTGTACCATGGCGGTGAGCTCACGAATGCGACGGCCCTTCTCGCCCAACACTTGTTGGGTCTTGGTGGCCATGATGATGATTTCAGTGCGCGATGGAGTCACACGCACCTCAACACCGGAGTAACCATCCTCGGCAAGCTCACGAGTAAGGAACTCGTTCAACTCAGCCTTGAAGATACCGTCGGAGACGAACTGCAAAATCACAAATTACAAATTGTTAGGCATACGGCATACGTCAATTTCAAAGATTTAACAAATATTATCATTGTTGGTTGTTGTTGTCGTTCAAGTTGAGTGTCATGCTACACGGGTGCTCCACGCCTGCCGCAGACGCCCGCGGTTTGAGGTTAACTTTCGTTTGATTTTGTTTTTTGTGGTTCCCGCGATGATTGTTCACACAACTTTAATCACACAATACGTGCACAGGGCCAGTGTACTTTTCTGTTTTAATTGCAATGCAATTTTCGTTTAATTACCTTACGTTTCTTTGAAATGTTTAGGTTCATGTTCATTTCATACGACTCGCACGGAACGTGGTCAAAAAGAAAGAAAGAAGGCACCCTGCTTTACCGATAACATGGCCGTCGCGCGCACTGCTTTGCCAGCTGTAGAGTTGCAAGTTAAATATACCGAATAGAATATTACAATTACAATCGATACACTTATTTCACTTAATGTATGAGCATTTTAAATATAAGAAATCTCATCTTACCCTTTGTAAAATAAATAATTGTTTAATGCTTCAGATTTCTTTAATACAAGTGTATTGCGCTATACATTTTGAACAGCTGTATCCGATTAACTTAAATCAACCCTACAGCTTCTGCCAGCTGTTCAAAATGGGAATACACAAAACTATCGGCAACCACCACAAACCAATGCAGCTATAATCGATGCAAATACGTATTGACTTATCAATAATTGCATCGATAATTTTACAGCTGTAGAACAAAGCAGCGACCAAATTGCGTCTCATTATTGAAAACGAAAATAATAACAAAATCTGCGGAACTAAATCAGCAGAATGTCGGAAATAAAGGCGTTGGAGCACGCCACACTGAAAGTGCCATACGAAATACTAAACAAACGCTTTCGATCTGCTCAAAAGATTATCGACCGTGAAGTTGACCAAGTAATGAATGTTTCGCGACAAGTGGAAAAGGCCTTGGACGCCGAGCAGCCGCCCATATTGTCAGATGTGGCGAAGTTAATGGGCAATGTTGCCCAAAAACTTCAGGTGCTCAAACGCAAAGCCGACGAGAGCATCAACGACGAGCTCAGTGTCACCCAGATTTGCAAACGTAAGCTACATCATCTCAAGGGCATCATGCCTCGCTGCACTGGAGAGATGTTTCCAGGAACGGTCGATCAATGGAAACGTATACGTATCGATCGGCTGGTTATCGAACATCTGTTGCGCATGGGCTACTACCAGACGGCCGAAGAGCTGGCGACACGCACTGAAGTGCGTCATTTGACAAATGTGGAAATTTTTCAAACTTCACGTGAGGTAGAGGAGGATCTGGCAAATCACAGTACTACTAAATGTGTGCTCTGGTGCATTGACAACAAGTCCAAGCTACGGAAAATCAATTCAACCATTGAGTTTAGCTTGCGCGTGCAGGAATTCGTCGAGCTAGTGCGTCAAAATCAGCGCTTGGAAGCAGTCAAGCATTCACGTCGCTATTTTCCAGCCTATGAGAAGACCCAATTGAATGAGATTTGTCACGTAATGGCGCTGTTGGCCTATCCAACCGACTCGGAAATGGAGCACTGCAAGAAATACATGGATCCCAAGCGCTGGGAACAGCTAGTGCTGGACTTTCGCCACGAAAACTACCGCCTGTTCCAGTTGTCAAACACATCAGTCTTTTCGGCAGCCATACAGGCTGGCCTCTCAGCGTTGAAGACGCCCCAATGCTACTCTCAGACCTGCCGCAATCTCAATTGTCCCGTCTGCCAGGACGATTTCCATCAGATTGCGCTCAAGTTGCCATATTCTCACTGTGTACAGAGTCGCCTCATCTGTCGCGTCACCGGCTTGCCGTTGAACGAGCACAATCAGCCGATGATGCTGCCCAACGGACAGATCTACGGTCGGCTCGCTTTGCCGAAGATAACCAAAGAGGATGGCACCGTTACCTGCCCGGTGACGAAAGTTAAGTTTACAAAACCGAAAATCGACAAGGTATTTATCATGTAAGCCGAACGAACAGTCTAAATGTCAGACTTTGTTAAACTTTAACCCCCTATATACTATACTATCATTATCATTAAGCCAGAATCGACTATATATATATATATTTTGTATAACTATATTTCTATTATGTATGTATCTAAGTGTGGCGCCTAACGTTTTCCAACAACTGCGCATTTGAATTTCGATTACGATTAGTTAGTTCATCTTCAACCAGATTTGATTCTCGTCGCTGCGCCGTCGCAGCTCTATTGATTTTTCCGACAGCGCAGTCGACAGCAGCAGCAGCGGCAGCGGCAGAGGCAGAGGCAGAGGCAGAGGTAGAGGCCGTATGTCGATGTTGATTCATGCTGTGCGGAGCGAGCGAGCAGCGTTATTTAATTTCTTCCTAAGTGAAAACTATTCAAATATATCAATATAAATAAAGAAAAATTCATATAAATAAGCAAAACGTAACGCGTTTCCAATTCTTTTGGGTTTCCCATTTCATTTGCACCTAAATACTGTCTGCGCGAGTTTCTATTATTGTTGTTGTCGTTGCGATTGCTGCAGCTCAGCTGCGAAAATGCATAGGAAACTGTGAAAATTTACAAACGAAAATAATTAGTTCGACAGCAGCAGCATCTAGGCAAACAGCTGCGTGTGCTCCTCAAATAATAACAACAACAACAACAAACAGATACATAAACAGTAAACTAGATACGTTCAACCCCCACGGCCAAACCCACCACCACCATCGTCATTTCCACCTCTACTCATACCACCTTCACCACTGCCATCAGCAAAAAGGCAACAACAGAGGCCCATCTGTAACTGTAAGCCCGCTCGTAAGCACTTCGCAATATGGCTTTGGATTTTGTGGCCACCTACAAGGTGTTGGTGCTCGGTGACTCCAACGTGGGCAAGACGTGCATCGTGCACAGATATTGCGATGAGAAATACTACGACACATACATCTCCACAATCGGTGAGTGTGACAAGTCGCTGTTATATACACACACACACACACACACACACATACACTATTGTCTGGCTTCAATGACAACAAACATCCTTTACCCATCCCATACACAGGCATTGACTTCAAACAGAAGCTCATCAATCTGGATGGTGTGCCCATAAAGCTGCAAATCTGGGACACAGCCGGGCAGGAACGTTTTCGCACATTAACAACAGCCTACTATCGCGGCGCCATGGGCATTTTACTGATGTACGATGTCACCAATCTGGAGAGCTACAACAACTTGTCCTATTGGTTGCGCAACATACAGGAGAATGCCTCGCCAGATGTGGTCAAAGTGCTGGCTGGCAACAAATGCGAATGCTCAACGACACAGCGCATGGTGGACAAGGACAGAGGCGAAAAGGTAAGCTAGTGGGCATGAAAGAGGGAAGAGGTTATATTTTAAATAAATAATTAATATATAAAAATAGTCGAGAGCCAGGGTCACTTGTCAGTCAGATGCATATTTAAAGAATAGTGTTTGCTTCCGATATGAGTGGATAAGTGTGAGGGAAGCAATATGCGAATATGTATGAAGAGGAGGCAAGGGCAGATATTTCTTAGAAATGTTGGACATATAGATACATTTTAAACAGAAAGTAAGGTAGACATCTTGAATAAATTATAGATTTATATAATATAGAATAAAGCAAAAATATAGAGGGAGTATGTGACAGAGAAGTATACAGGCAAGAGAAAAATAATCTTACTTAAATTATAGATAAATAATATATAAAAAAAAAACAAAATATGAGATATCTGGTAGATACATAAATTATATGAGAGATATATGCCAGATACATTAAATAGATTTTAGATATAAAGTATATAAGAAAACTGAATATTTTGAGGGAATATATGATATATATATGATAAATATAGATATATATAGTGTTACTGACAGATCTTGACCATCAGCTAGGCATATTTGGAATAGATATGTACACAGAAATCTATATAAGACAGACATATAAAACTAATTATAGATCAGAAGTCAGACATCAAGCAGGAAAGGATCCTTTCTATCCATAAAAAATATACGCATAACTGAAATGAAATACAAATAAAAAATTAAATGAAAACCAAGCTAGTAAAAGAAATCCCCAAGTCTCTGCATATCCATGAAGATCTCTATTAATCTATATTAATCCCAATAACTAATTCCATGTACCACGCTACAGATTGCCGAAAACTTTGATATGCCCTTCTTTGAGGTCTCTTGCAAATCGAATATCAACATTGAGGACGCATTTTTATCGCTGGCTCGCAAGATACGTGAACAGCGCGAGAGACGAGTGAGTTACAATGGAAATGTTCAACTTGAAATGAATCTGAATCAATATGTTATCTATTTAAGGGCGACAACTTCGACAATGACGAGAAACAGGACAAGAAATCGCCCGGCTCGAATGGCCTGGGCACCTTCAGCCTGGGCAGTTTGTCGGGCGAGAATCGCTGCACCTGCTAAACTCCCTTTCGGAACGCCGAGACCCCCTTCGAGCCGCTGTAACCTGAACAAGTTGTCCACAATGTACACTGTACAGCTCTAGCAGCCACAATTCATGTAGCCAAGTTTGTGCATGTTATTAACAATAACGCTAAAAATTATAAACAAATTATAAAAGAAAAAAAAAAAACAAAAACATTTGAAATGCATGAACAGAGTCGAGTCGAGTCAAAGCCTATGTAAAACGTACAGATTGTGCATTTTTTTAAGATAGTCCAAGAATAGCATAATAATAATAATTTTTAGCATATTCGTGCAAATACATAAACATTTTTACATTAACTAACTCGTGTACTCGTTAAGCTAAATAAGTCTAAATATATATATATATATATATTGAATATATTGTATAAAATTATGCGAATCTGAATGTAAGCCTGTAACGACTTGTTGCAAAAACAACTTTTAAAGTGAAACACAAAACTTAACAATGTCTATATGTGGACTGGTTTTGCTTGGATCTGATCAATTATACATGCATAATACAGAAAAGCAAGCTGAATTGCTCAATTTTCGTTTCCATGTGTCAATTAGTGAGTTAAGTGCTTCCATTTCCGCTATCTATTCTATCTAGCTGTGGCGCCTAGCAACCGAAAAGTGTCCACAACGTTGACAGTGACGTATCCTTTGGGGAGCACACGGCAGACAGAGTTCGGCAGTTCATTTTTTGTGCTTGCTATGAAAGGGTTTCGCAACAAAGCCAGCTCGCTGCCGATTTTCAATGGACGCATCATGGACGCGACCACATTGACGACCACATCGCTGCAGCCGGCTGCCAGTCGCAAGCTCTCCGCGCGGGGCACAGCCTCAGTTTTTACCATAACCGATGGCAACATGGGCCACGTGCCCAGCACTTCGCTGGCCGAGGCAATGGCCATCAATCAGGTGCCGCCGCCGCCGCAGCTGGCGTTGGTCAAGGAGGAGGAACAGCTGCACATAGCCGGCACCGAGCTGGCCAACTACGAAAAGGTGCGAGTGGTGGGCCAGGGCTCGTTTGGCATAGCCATACTGTACAGGCGCAAAATCGATGGCCATCACATTGTCTTCAAGCAAATCAACCTGAGCGAGCTGACGCCACCGGGCCGCGATCTGGCCATGAACGAAGTGGAGGTCTTCTCCAAGCTGCATCATCCCAACATTGTCAGCTACCTGGGCAGCTTCATCAAGGACAATACGCTGCTCATCGAGATGGAGTACGCGGACGGCGGCACCCTGGCCCAGATCATAGCCGAGCGTCAGGGCAAACAGCATTTTCCCGAACGCTACATAATCGCGGTCTTTGAGCAGATCTCCAGCGCCATTAACTATATGCACTCCGAGAATATACTGCATCGGTATTCAGCTACTATCTATAGGATATATACACATATATAGAGTCACCTATCGTTCATTCACAGCGACCTGAAGACGGCCAATGTGTTCCTGAATAGACGCGGCATTGTGAAGATTGGCGACTTTGGCATATCCAAGATAATGAATGCCAAGATTCACGCCCAGACTGTGCTGGGCACGCCCTACTACTTCAGCCCCGAGATGGTGAGCGGGCTTAGCCTAGCGATGTTGCTACAAAATCCTGATGAGTTAACCAATCTCTGCAGTGCGAGGGCAAGGAATATGACAACAAGAGCGACATTTGGGCCTTGGGCTGCATTCTGGGCGAGCTGTGCTGCTTGAAGAAGACCTTTGCTGCCTCCAATCTCTCCGAGCTGGTCACCAAAATCATGGCCGGCTCCTATACGGCTGTGCCGCTTGGCTATACGTCGGGTCTGCGCAGTCTGATGGCCAATCTGCTGCAGGTGGATGCAGCACGTCGACCCACTGCATCCGAGGTGCTCGTCTATTGGATACCGCTCATCTTTCGCAGTCTGGGCAAGAACAAGGGGTGAGCTGCCAGCATGCCAATATGGGCTGCTATCCCAATGACATATCCCCACCTTTAGCTACACCTATGAGGACAATGTGAATGGCAATGGCAGCTTGATGGCAGCGCCAACGTCTCTCTTTGCCAGCTGCAGCAATTTGACCATGGAACTGCCCACGGCCCAAACCCAAACGCGGAAGCTGATGAGCGCCGAGACAGTGGCGCCCCATGAGGTGATCGAAAGGCGGTGAGTTCAGGGATCATTGGAAAGCTTTGGATGCTGATCATTCGGTTTACATTGCCAGCTCTGTGCTGTACCAGCTGAAGGCGTTTGGCAACAGCTTCAGCATGAGTCCCATCCAGCTGCCGCCGAAGGCCTTGATTGTCTGCGTGGCCATGAGCGAAGCGCACTTTGTGGTGATCAATGATGATGGCTCGGCCTATGCCTGGGGCGAGGGCACACACGGCCAGCTGGGCCTCAGCTCGCTGGAGACCTGGAAACACTATCCTGGCCTGGTGCAGAGCGTACGCAATTACCATTTGGTTAGTGCCTGTGCCGGCGATGGCTTCACCATATTCCTTACCCAATCCGGCAATCTGCTGAGCTGTGGAAGTAACACGAAATTTGCCCTCGGGCAGGAGGAACAGAAGGACTACTTTACGCCCAAGCTGATAGCCAAGCTGGCGGATGTGCGCATCGAGCAGATCGCAGCTGGATTGCATCATGTCCTGGCCCTGAGTCGAGAGGGCGCCGTTTACGTTTGGGGCACCAGCGTATCGGGCGCCTTGGCCCTGGGCAATTACCAGCAACAGCAGTGAGTGGCTTGGTGGCTCAGAAACCACTTTCGCTTACCCCTTCAACTCTCCATTATCCTGCACAGAAAGCATCCACAGAAGATATTGTTGTCGCATGTCAAGAGCAAAGTCTCGAAGATTTACTGCGGCCCGGACACGTCCGCTGTGCTCTTTACCAACGGCGAGCTGCATGTGTGTGGCAGCAACGACTACAACAAGCTGGGCTTCAATCGTCCTGGCCGGATCACAGCATTTGTATGCCGTAACGCGTCCTGTGACCCTTCTTCCAGCTCTATTTCAACAATGTCTTCTTCTAGAAAAAGCTGCAGCTGCCCTATAAGGTGCTCAACGCTTGCTTCTCGTCGACGCATTCAGTGTTCCTTGTCGAGGGCGGCTATGTCTATACCATGGGCCGCAACAAGGAGGGACAGCGCGGCATCCGGCACTGCAATGCAGTGGAGCAGGCCACCTTGGTGGATACCATACGCGCACGTTACATTGTGGTTGGGCATGCATCCAGCCAGCTGTTTGGCTGCCTAACCTAATAGCTTCCCCTATTTGTAGAAGGCCAACTGCAACGACCAGTGCACCATTGTTGCCTCCGAGGACAATATCATAACCGTGTGGGGCACTCGGAACGGCCTGCCTGAGATCGGCTCCAGCAGCAGCGGGCTGGGCCTAGAGGTCTGCACACCCAACGCGGAGCTGGACCTGGGCAACAACACAGCAGCCTTCACCAATTTCTTGGCTTCGGTCTACAAGTCTGAGCTGATCATGGAGCCAGTGGACATATTGGCGTAAGCTGGCGAATCCCGACATTCTGTGCCAAATTAAACATTTCCTCTGCAGCCTGTACTCATCCAAGGAGCAGTGCGAGCGTGGCTACTACGTCCAGGTGAACGATGTATTTCCGCTGGCCCACAGCGTCTTGGTAATGGTAGAAACAACCACACCTTTGGTATCCTCCTTTGAGGGCTAGACAATTGACCGAATACAGATTAAAAGCATAATCAATATTTATCTCAAATTTCTTTACAACTAATTAAAATTTGAAATCAATTTTCTTGCGCTTTACTGGTAATAGCCACGTTTGCTCGCCTCCTCCACGATGGTTTGCACCGCTGCGAACGCCTCGCGAGCCGTCGGCTCAATCTCCTTGGCCGATAGAATGAACATCTCGACGCTGTCTGGCAGGCCGCGCAGCTCGAACGTGAAGGTGATTGGCACCTTTAGCTGACTATAAGCCCAATCCTTGGAGCCGCCACTAGAAGGATAGATAGTCTCGTATATATTTCCGCTCTTATATACCCGTCCAGTCAACTCCTTGATGCGTGCCGCTGCCAATTGGCCAATCTCCTTCAGATCCGCATAGTTCTCTACGTGCTCGGCCGTGTGGCCATATGGAAACAGGATCAGCTGCGAGTAGCTGTGCAGCGATAGGAAGGTGCGAATGCGCTCGGACTCGACATGGGTTTCCAAAAATTGCATTAGTCGTTGCGTCTCCACTTCGCTGCCAGCAGCTGGGCCAGAGAAATCGTATTTACAGGGATTGCCGCTGGCGCCCGTGGTGTTCCAGCTCATGGGAAAATTGCGATTCAGATCGACACCGCGGCAAATGCCAAAGATCTGACGATTCTTGCGCCACATGCGATCTCCCGTGAAGCTATAGCGATAGCCATCGGGATTTACCGAAGGAAAGATAAACCAGTTCTGAGAGCGAGCCAGAGCCCGAACAGACGAATCGTTGGAGTGGAGCAGCTGATCAATAAAGTAGGTCGCAGCAGCTGGGGCAATCCACTCGCGCGCATGGATTCCACTCTCAATGAACACACTGGTTAGGTTCTCGCCTCCAAAGGCCAACTTCACTCCCTTGATGGGCAAACCCTGAGTACTCAAGCCCATGTCCAGCACTTTGACTACGTCTGGTTGATCCCGAGCTAGCTTCTCCAGCCAGCCATATATGTTGTCCAGCTGAAAGTAACGCTTCCAATCGAACTCCTCCGGCGGCGTGTTCTCTGGTGCCACCTCCAGGTAGTTGGCATCGATGAGCTCCTGAAAGTTGTAGTGCAATATGCGATGGCTGATGTTGTAGCTGTGCAGCAGATCATCGAAGTCGGCCACCTTATGGCCAGTCACCATAATCGTCAGCTTCTGGCCGGGCATGCGCGCATGGCCCATGAACCCGCACGAATCGCTAGCATCCTCTAGCGCCTGCATGATTCCCACTTGAGTGGCGGTTGCCAGCTCCACGCTGTATATGCGTGTGTGATCATAGCGCGCCTTTGCAGCCGATGCTTCAGAAATGCCTCCCAAGGCACATTGGTCGACGCTCGTGCAGAACCTGGCCGCCCCAACGTAAGGCCGGAAGACCACACTGAACAACAGCAACGGGAGCGATAACTTGTTCATTCTAGAAAGGTTCAAACTATATTAAACTGAGATTGCACACAACGCCTATCAAATATCACCTCTGAGAGCAGCTTGATTATTTATATATATATGTATGTATGTATGTATGTGTAATCTAAGCTAAAGAATAACAAAGAAATTAGAGCAGATAGACATACAAGCTAATACTCTTTATCGATGCTTGAATAAGATCACTAAGTTTTCAGTGTAAATAAATATTTGAAAATTAATAAACACAGCATACTTATTTATATACATATTTATACACACATTAATTATTGATGACCGCTAATTTTATTGAAATATGGATCACAAGTGTAAATAATAATTTATACATATGTTTCACTAAATATATAATATTTTGTACTTCCTCTAAAAAATTGCGCGTTTGGAATCGCGCCTATTTCTTAAAAAATATCGTTTCTTAAATTATCGAACAAGTTATAATCGATAACTTTGAACTTGTATTCAGGGTTGTAGGCTTGCTGCCAGGCAAGCCGCGCAATTTAAAGACAAATGTTATTGACACCACTAGATAATTGCGAGCTTAATTCATTTATCTACCACCTGAAGGAAAGGTGGCTCCATAGATAATACGTTCAATCAAGGTGTATCTAATTTCTTAAAATAATATATTAAAAACGTGACCCATTGTTTAGTAAGTGTTTTTTACAAGTATCGATAGTATCGAATAATATGAAATGCTGGTCACCTTATCAGCTGTTTTATATTTAATAATAAACATCAATGGAATCTCAATTTGATAACACAGAGTAGGTATACTTAAATAATCGCACTAAAGTAGCTAAATTAAAAATTAATAACAGCGAAAACTATTGGAACCGCTCATCGAGAGCTGCGTTCAGCTTTGACGATGAAGATGACGTTGATCTTGGAGATGTCGGCGCCAGAACAAGCACAGGACAGGCCAGTCAGAGCAGCAAATGGGATAATAATGCAATTTTTAATGACGACACCATTTCTGAGGCCAGCTTTGATAATAGCGCCGCGTTGGGTACACTAAATCATTTGTCAATCAAAGCTATATTAAGCGATGAGGCGCTTAAGCTGGTGCTACAGGAACAAGCAGTGGACGACCACGTTATGCCAAAGGGTGTGACACCTGAGGAGGAGCTTAAGCTGCTGCGACGCCAAATACAAAGCACGCTGTACAGCCCCAATCTAGAGCTAACCGCACAAAAACTGCTGCATGGCAAAGTGGCGCCATTGGAAATGTTTAAATCATTGCTAGAGAAACGTCAACTATTAGATGCAGTGTTGGCAAACGGCGGCGATGCGATAATTGGAGTTCTACTGTTCCTCAAGCGAACCCTGAATGCTACCCAGTTCCATGGTATACTGCAACAGCGACCGAAGGCTTTGGAGCACTATCTCAGCTATCTGCGTCAAAGTGGCGATGTCAGCAGCTATATTGATATGCTGCAACGTTTCGGGCGTCATCAGGAAGCAGCTCTCAGACAGTTTCAAGCGGCCATGGCTTGCAATGAACTGGCCACGCGAAAACAGCAGCTGCAGCGACTAATCGATGCATATGCGAGCGCAGGAGTGGGCATAATACCATTATATGAGCAGGTTTTTCATTCAGCATTAAAGCTGCAGCTGGTCAGGGAGAAGGATGCTCTTGGTGATCTTAGCCAGCGGCTCGGCGATGAGCCCACCCCCATTGAGCTGCTGTATGTGTGCTGTTCACAAAACAAGAATTGGAAAGAACAGGACATGCTTAAGATTAGCTCACCCCAGCGCTTTGCTGCCGATCAGGAAATCTCGCCGGCACAGTACGAATGGACGGCTTTAAATGAGCGTGCCCAAGCACAGGCCTATGCGGACTTGGAGTGCATCTTTGAGCGCGTGTCCGGTTGGCATCCCCTCAAATCGAAGCAGTTCCACATCAGCTTCGATTTGACCCTAGCCGTACAACGTCTCTTTGAGCTGAAAGCGCCCGCCACAGTGCTGCAGCTATTTCTATCCAAGATGAGCAACAGCCCCGAGAAGCTGGTGCTGGCGCAACGTGTCAAATGTATTAAGGCAGTCATCGATGCAATGGTCAGTCTCAAGCAGCAACAGGAATTGCAGCAGTTAAAGCAAACGCTACCCGACCGATCCGAGGAGCAGTTTTACTGTGAGAACGCGCTCAAATCTCTACAAAGCAAACGCTGGACTACGGACAACATCAAACTGAAGCTTTAGCGAGCTGCCAACAAACTTTGTATAAATGTATTTTTTATTACCTTGTCTTTATATCATATGTGTAATTATTAAAAATTTACTTTATATATGTATTAAATAATTTGCAAATCACAAGCTGAATATCAATTAAAAATGTGTGTGTGGTGTCCTTTAAACATTTTGTTTTCGTTTTTCTTTTTTATTGAGTAAACAAAAAGCGCGTTAAACCAATTGCAAACAAAGCACTACAAAAAATTAAATTCTTTAAACAATTTGTTTGCCTTAAATATTTTACTTAAACAACGTCGCTGTAAAAGCTATTTATATAAATATGCGCAGCAAAACCGCAAACAACAATTAGTTTTAATTAAGTATAAACATTTGTGTGGGCGGGTAATAGACAATAATATATAATATTTACTTATGTATGTGTGTGTGTGTGTAAGTGTGTGTGTGTATGGTGTATCTGTGTGTATTTTGCGAGTGTGAATGTGTGTGTGTGGTGTCTGGGCGGGCACAGCAAGAGACGCCATTATTGATCTTTGGTTTCCTGCTCGAATTGACAACAAATCGTAAAAACTTTAAAAATTATAACCAAAAAAAGTTTTACAACAAAAAAGAAATATACACACAGTAAACTTTCAACTTATACAAAGTTGAATGTTAGGAAAAAAAGAGCTTAACAAAATTCAAAGCAAGAACCGCGATTCCTTCGAGCGTCGCCATTGACCGCATAGCCAAAGCCACTGCTAATTGCTACCTCCGCTGGCATCCTGATCACAATAGCTAAGCAGGCGCTGGCACAGAATCGTCTTGAACTTGACTGAAAAGCTGTCAAAAATGGCATCCGTATCCTGCAGCAAACTCGACGACGACGTGGACGCCGATTGGTTGCTATCCGATGCTGCAATCAGCGACTTGAACTTCTGATTGAGATTCTGTTCGAGTGCCGAATTATTGTTGTTAAAGTAGAACACGTATGCCAGCTCCAACAGATAGTAATCCAGATCGGCCATGAAATAGCGCTCACACTCGAGCATATCGAACTTATGTTCCAAAAAGTGTACACACATATGATAGATGAGATGCTTGAGATCGGATCGATGCAGGGGCACATAACCCGTGTCCTTACTGAAGTACTCAAATAGCTTAAGAGTGCGTTGGGAGCTGTCGCAGCTCTGCAGGCAAAGCTGAAAGGCCTCCACAAATCGAAAATTGAGCATACAGATCCTAATGCGATATTCATTGCGCAGCAGACGTGAACATTCGGCTATTTTGTCCGGATTGTAGAGCCCATGGAAGGCATACAGGCAGTAGTGTATATAATGGCGCAGCGCTTGCAATGCATTCACATCCCCACCGTCCGTGCTGGGCGTACGGGTGCTGGCATCATCTCTATCCCCCAGTAGTGGAGCTACATTGTCAGCCAGTCCCCTAACTTCCTGGTTGGGCAAGGGCACATAGCTTTGCTCTTCTGGCGAATAGTCAAGCTCCAGGGAACTGTTCACGTCGACTATATGCTGCGCATTGTATGAGTAACTAGCATCGTTGTGGCTTAGATTCTCCAGGCTGCTCAGTAGGTCATCGGAATCTTGGCCAGTGACCGCCTGGTCTGTGCTGGACTTATAGTTAAGCGTTTCGGGCGAGTAACGATGCTCAAAGCTGATATTCGCCTGCTGCAAAAAGTGTGGCTGATATGGCGGAATCACCTTAAGGTAACGCACTGGCTCCTGGTCTAAACGTATTCGTGGACGCGGTAAATTAATCTCCACAGGCGCATCAACGCATTGGGTTTCGAAACGCATTAACCGCTTGGTGGTGGGCAGGCAAACGACGCGTTGTCGCATACGATCCAAGCTGGCGCCCAAGTCGCGGCCGCACTGACCATTCGAGTTCCCACCAAAGGCCTTGACAATGTGATCGGTGGTCATAACAAGGGTAAAATCAGCGCCGCAATCCACATACATTGGTCTCTCGATGCTATCGATGGGCGATGGCTTGACCACAGGTCGGCGATCTTTGTCCTCGGTGCCCAGCTGATGCTCGAGATTCTTCCCCCACGTGTATAGCGTGCACGAAGATGATATCAATGCAAAGTGAAACAGGCCGCTTGAGATCTATCGGCAGCAATACAAACATAAATTAAATAATCTTAAATATTAACAAGTATAAGAAGTAAGTTGATCAGTCTACCTGTAATATTTGCCCAGCAACCTCGCTGGTATCAACTAGATGTGGCGTCAAATGCTCCGTTGGATCAATCTCGAGACCGATTGGCTGACCAGTTGAATAGGCAGATGATGTTGGCATTGACTCTGTATTACTGGGCACTGATATATTATCCGTAGAATCAGATGGCAAAGCCTCATCTTGGGCGGACTCTTTGGTTTCTCCACTGGATTTGGGTATTGCGCCTGCCACAACAGCTGCATACGATGTGCTTGGCTCCACCAATACGCTGTTGTTGCTAGGTGCTGGCAGCAGCGTTTCCTCCAGTCGCTTACTCAGCAGCTCACGCTGTTGATTCTCCTCCATCTTTTGCTTGGCATTGGCACGACGCCTTATTTGATTGGCCAGACGAAGCGCTTGAGGCGAACTGCCCCATGTATACATGCGTTCCTGATCATCTACAGCTAGCTGAACAAACACAAATGTTTAACTGTTTCATTTCAGACTTTGCTAACTCACATTTGTAAAAAATTTCGTATGTATCAGTCTTAAGCTGCAGTCGTTGCCCAGTTCCAAGCGCAATGGCACACTCGTCTTTGTATCCTGACTCTGATCGGAATTGCCAGTGCCAAGCTGTCCAAAATGATTGGAACCAAACACATAGAGCTCGTTGCCACTGCTATTAGCCTCTGTATAGTTGTTGGGGGATGCCTGGCATAGCACCAAACTGTGTGCATGCCCCAGCGAAATTTGTAAAATTTTCTATAAGATACATGATAAACACACAATTTAAATAATGAAATAAGAGCACCGTATATTACACGCACCTTGTACTTAAAGAAACTGACTAGTGTGGGTGTTGCCATATTCTCGCAGCTGCCATTGCCCAGTTGACCATAGATGCCCCAGCTAAGACAATGCATTAATTAGTTTACTAACTTTGTGCTATTAGATTATATATGACACGCACCCCCACATATATAGCTTGCCATCTGCTACGGCTGCATTGTGATATTGACCCGCCTCCAGCATGGTAATATTCATGGCATCCAAAGCAGTTACCAGCATAGGTTGTAATGCCATTTGCATTTGCTGTCCAACACCCAGTTGGCAGAGATTATTGTTGCCAATGGCATACAGCTGTAGGAAATTAGATGTATTAGTAACTAGATAAGAGGAAAAGCCGTAAAACCTACGCCATTATTGGTGAGTATCAGTGTATGCTGGCGTCCACACTTGAGCGCATGCACCTCCAAATCGAGTTGCGAGAGCAGCTCCAACGTCTTCACGGCATGTGCAGGCTCCGGTGGTTCTATAGTATATATGCATGTATACTGAAATTATATCCGTAAATGTGAGAAAAACCAACCTGTTGATTTCTGGGCGCTAAAGCAGCAGGGCACGCCGCTGGACCCCCAGAAATAGGCCACACCATCCACAACACAGGCGCAATAGGCACAGCCAGCCGAGATTGGCTTGAAACGTGATGATTCGATGGCAAACTAAGATAAACAATTGTGAGATTTACAGTTGTCCTTTGTATATTGCTCACACTTGCCTGATTGTCCTCATAGCTGATGCGAAAGTTTGATAAAGCATTTACAATAGAGTCGTGCTTAACACGCTGCGATTCCATATGTAAGAGCACAGCCAAATAGGTTTCGATTAGGCATTTGCTGAACTCAAATATGTGTTCATTATTGTCATTGTTGCTTGAGCTGCTGCTGTGCGAAACAATGGGACGCAGCGAGGGCGCGAAAGGATTTAGCTGCATGGCAAGGCGCTGCAAATAGATAAGAAACTCTCATTAGTAAACATATCCATAAATGAATTGTATAACAAAGAGCTCACCTGTAACACACAGGGTCGAATATGTTCCAACTTGTCCTGTATGAAAGTAAAGTAATCCATTGACACGTGCGGCAAATATGTGATTGTCTCCATAAATATATTTTCGCTTAGATTATACAGACAGACGTTGAGCTCGTTATACCAGCCAAACTCCTGGGCAACTACACTGACCAAAGCATTGAAGGTATCCAAGCAAACGCCGCGCACTTTTGCCAAAATAATGGCGGCCGAAAATAGGCCGCTCTGACAGAGCACAATGCTGGTCATATTCGTATGATACTTCGTGTTGGTAACCAAAAAGTTCCTAAAATAAAAACAAACATTAAATAAATGTATATATCCCAAAAATAAAAACAGCTTTTACTTACCATAAAGGCAGATAGTTTTTATCGTTGACTGCCTTCTCGGCTAGCGTAATCAACAGCAAATTGGCCAAATGAAACTGTGACGAGGGTGACATTTGCAATGCACTAATGGACTCATCGATACCATAGTGATAATCGCTGCAGGATACCCCACTATTTACCACAATGCCCACGTCTTTCACTTTCGCTTGCAAGATGTCGCGCACATCCTCCGAGTGGCGATATGTGATATCCGACTGAATGCTCTTCAGCAACGGATGACACAAATAGGTCGATCGCAATATGTAAGATGATTTCAGGGCCATGGCGCTCAATTGCATCAGCGCATAGGTATGCCCATACATGGCCAGCTTGAGGGCCGTTCGTATGGGCTTAACGCGCGCCACATTGTACGTGATCAAGGCCTGGGTAATCTTTTTGCGACGCAACAAATAATCGCCAGCAAACTCAATGCAATGCTCGAAGGTTAGATCAAACGTGTTGCAAAACTCTCGGCACTGATTCCATTCACTCATCAGCGCAGCGTCCAAAAACAATTCGAATGGTTCCTTTCTGCAGGGTATCAAATATATATCTATGATTTATCTATTCATATTTAAGTACTCACTTAAGCTGGACAGTATAAACATTCTTATTGGTTACAACATAGCACGGATCATAGTTGATCCTGGGAAACTCGCTCTGCATTATCTCCATTTGTCGCAACGAATATTCATTGCTACTATCAGCCGATTCATAGAACTGTACGTAGTCCATGGGTGTATGTATATCCTTGATCTCGAACGCCTTTGCCTTTTCCTCCTTTGTCAGAGTTTCGGCATTGTTGTTATTGCTGCCACCCAGATTCCGAAATTGCGCCATTTGATAAAGCTGCAGCACAGTTTCCTGCTCAAAGCGAAATAACGCCAGCTGAGCTTGCTGATTGAAACGCTGAGGATTTATAAAGATAATTAACTACTGTATAACACGCAGGCGACTATTCCAGCACACACTTACATCATCTTCGGTGGTATGCAACGAGGCCATTGCGCTGCTGATGACGCTAACCGCATTTATTGCATTGGTGGGCATTTCGCTTTGATCGATGCTCGATGCATTACTTGTGGTTGTTGCGCTCGTCTCGTCGCTTTTATTCGTTTGCTCCAACTTCTCAGTGTCTGCATCTTGACTTTCCTTTTCGGTGTTTGCCATCAACGGCTCTTCGAGCGACGATGATGACGTAGAATCACCTGATTCACTGCGACTATGCAGATCCACATATTGTATACCATACAATATGTTAGAGCTAATCAGTATATCCACACAGTGTTGAGGTATCTTATATACGAACAATGGCTTTAAATTAATATCAATTCGATGCACCGTCAGGCTGCAGCTAGTGCTATGCAAGGCGCTTAACAGATAAGTGCTACGCAGATTCTGTATATTATAAAACGAGCCATTCGTGTTCCCCAGAGGTTCCGGAGTAACCGATGGCGAGTCCATAATAGCAAATGTGCCCATATTTGTCTCAGGCATGACTGCAAAGAAAAAATAGATCATATATTAGAAGATTGTTTTTCAAACTGTTGCCAGCGCTTACATTCTTCTATTTTCTGCCGCTGATCGGATAACCGCATCTTAATAGCTTGCAATTTTTTGGAGCCGAGGCTTTTAAGCGAAGCAAGACGTGCCCGCGTAGCTGGCAATATGCCATCAAAGCTATTCACGCCCAATTGCTGCTGATGTAAACGACCGCCGCATTCAATAAAGGATGGCGGCGGAGGCGACGATGATGGCATTTTTGAATTACCATCATTGGCGACCACATTGGACTCAACAACACCGGTAGAAAGCGGAACTGTTTGGGTGCTTGGAGCAATGTCTTCGCTGGAGGGTGGTGCAAAGACATCCTCCTCTAGCTGGCTGCTATCCGATGCTGGATCAGAGCTGTTGCTTTGCCGTGCATCATAGCTAGCGCCACTTTGATTCTTTCCATGCACGGACATCACAATTTGCCAAGCACCCTCGCGAGTCGTGGGCGAACTATCACCAGGATAGACATACTTTATGGCCTTCTGCTCCAGCAGCAACTTGAATTGTGCCTTTAAGGAGGATGTGACCTAGTCAAATAGCAAGAAAGCAAAAATTTGAGAACTTTATTTTTTAAACTTAAGTTATTAACTTACCAGTAACATGACCCCCTCGAAAGTATTGTCCTTACAAATAGTTAAACGCACCACTGAACCAGTTTGAATGGCTGTGCTGGCTATCATGGGACAATTTGGACTGAGGCCCACGAAACAAATCGAGCCATCAGAGTAACCAATGATAGCACGATTTAACCCGGAATAGGTTTTCCACCATACCACGGACAACGGATACGGGCATGTCTTGGAAGCCATGAATGAGGTAGCCATGACCTGGCTATTTCCTGTTGTATCAAAAGGCGGGGCTTGCACTTGAATGGCCTCGCAAGACAAGTCCCCCGAATCGCCATTGGCTAACAAATGCTCTGGAAGCTCATGTCCTAACGGCTCTTCCTCATTAACATTAGCACCTTCTTTGTCTAGCTTAACATGCTGCAATTGGTCTGAAACCTGATCCAAGTTCCACTGATGCTCCACATTTTCATTCCGTGCCGTAGAATAATTGGGACACTTCTTCGAATTGGGGCATTCGTGCGGGCCAACAAATGGTATTATATAGGACGTCACCTGTGTAGTGCTATACAATGAACAGCTGGCCAAATTGTGTGTTTTATCGACCAGAGACAGGGCGGGCACAATATGCAGCGTATTGTCGAAACCTGTTGATAGATAGGACAATGGGCATGGTTAGCGTTGAGTTCAGTAACACTTTAATAGACCTGCCCCCGCTGACGAAGCAGTCAATCAAAACAAAATGTGCTTAAGAAAATCAATAATGTAAATCGCACACACGCACGCATACACAAACGCTTTGCACTCCCACCTACAGCATCAAAAGTAATTTTAGGTTTTACTATGTGTAGCACACTACGCCCGAACCGGAACCCCCACCCCTAGCAGCCATACACCTGCCCTTAACGCCACTACACAACGTCACATACTTACAGAGAACAAGCAGCCAAATACCAGCAGGATCGAAGCAGACATCGTGTATGACACGATTAGTGCGTCGAAACCAGGAGATCATCTTGAGCACCTCTTGGCCACCGCCAGCGCTAATATAACGCAGCACAATTTCATTTTCCTCGCTGACCAGGCACAGGAATTGCTTTTCATCAAACGGTGCGACTGTGACGGTGGAGAGCTTACAGCTGAAATTCGTAATAAGCGGACGAAGCTCAAAAATCTGCAACTCCTTGAGCTCTGCATGCCCATGCACCGCCATCACTAAATTTTTTTTTGTGTGGTCGCTGACGGACCTGCTGAGAGCGTTTCTTCTTTATAATTTTTGTTGTTGCACAAATCAAATTTTAATTTTTTTTACTATTGCCATGTTTCCATAGCAAACATTTTGTTATCGCATTTACAAGTTATCGGATATATGCGATAGGCTGTTTCCAGTGCACACATCAATTAGTCCAATATACTTACTAACAAGCACCAAAATATTTAGACTTAGTCTCAAATAAAAACAAATATGTTAGTTTTGGTTCTTTCTTTTTATTTTTTAGGAACCTTGAGTGTCTTAACTTGAAGTCAATATCGTACTAGACAAAGTTTCAAAATTTATATTGTTATCGATTTGTCATAATTCGTCTGTAAGCTTTATGTGTAAATATGCGCTTACGCACTGTTGATTTAATATGTTAAATTATGTTTGGTGTCTAATATGGTGCCTTAGGTTTTTTTCTGAGCGATATATTAATGAAGGGAATGTCATGACTTATTAATTGCAAAAATTGCTGCATGGAAAAGCATACAAAATTTTAAACCGCCTTATAAAAACTATACTTTAAACAGTGCTGGAAAGCGATAAAAATTGGGAACTAACTTCATACCGATTACGTGAATTATCGATATTGATTAATTCATGCAACTCTACATCCAAACTTAACGGCGCGAATGTAAAATTGGCGTCGCTTGCATTTGCTGATCGCCGTATCGGAATTCTTAAAAACAAATTTCATAAAGAAAGCAAAACTATAATGGAATCACGTTTACCTAAGCCGACAGGCCTAAAACGTCCCACGCAGGCGATTAAGCCAATATTACCCACTGAGCGTATAAAAGCGGCTACTAGTGCAAATTTAATATACAGCGGCTCAACAACAATACAGCCGCTAACGAGAGACTTGCAAAACATTCCGCAAGCATTAAAACAACAAGGAGGTATTTTTTAAAATTAAACATTTTAATTATTTAATTTTTAACCATATTTACCACGTAGCTCGAGCCACCTCGCCCGATTCAATGAAATTGAGTGGACCAAACCGGCTAAAATTGCGGCGCAGCCGATCAGCTTGTGACATCACCGAATTGCGGCAGAATCTTAAACGCACCGGTGTGCCCAATTTGCCAACCATTCCGACGAAATTCCCTCGACATGTTGGAACTTCAACAACGAGTTCGAATTCAACTTCTACGACTCGTATGGCCCGAGCGGGATCAGTCCCAGTTAAGCGTAATCCAGTATCAGCGGCTCCGTCGACTAGTTCAACGCGTCCTTTACAGCGGGCAGCAACAGCGACAGCGACGACTAACAAAACCAAACCCTCTGCAACAGCTGCTGGTGGCGGAGGAGTTGGACCCAAGCGCATTGCTCCTTACGATTTTAAAGCGCGCTTTCATGACTTACTGGAAAAACATAAGGCGCTTAAAACGAAATATGAGAAGCAAATTAATGAAATGGGCGAACTGGAAACGCTGCCCATGCAACTGGAAGAGACACAAACCAAACTAATTGCTACGGAATCAACACTTAAGCATTCTCAAACAGATAACGACTGTCTGCAGCGTCAAGTGAAGCAGCAGACGGAAAAAATTGAGATGATAACCAGCACATTAGGAGAGACAAAACTGGAATTGCAAGATCTTAAAGTTACGCATCAGGTAAGCCACAAGGTTAACACATTGTAAAGCATGATATTTTATATACTGTATTACAGGAAGTTAAAGCAGAGCACGAAATCCTCTCCGCGGAGGTATTAGATCTGCGTAGTCGGAACGAGGAGCTCATGCGAAGCAATGAACAGTTGGCTGCCGACCTGAACTTATGCAGGGAGCAGCTGTTCCAGTCGAATATAGAGCGCAAGGAACTGCACAACCTCGTCATGGATTTGCGTGGCAATATAAGAGTCTTCTGCCGAGTGCGTCCGCCACTTGAATCTGAATTGGATCGTTTGATGTGCAATTGGATATACCATGACGAGGCGACAGTGGAACTTCAGAGCTTAGATGCTCAGGCCAAGAATAAGATGGGACAACAGTTATTTAGTTTCGATCAGGTGTTTCATCCGAACTCGAATCAAAATAGTATTTTTGAAATGGTTGCTCCATTGATTCAATCAGCACTCGATGGCTACAATATATGCATCTTTGCCTACGGCCAGACGGGCAGTGGAAAGACGTACACGATGGACGGCGTGCCCGACAATGTGGGTGTTATACCACGCACAGTCGATCTACTTTTTGACTCTATCAAAAACTATCGCAATTTGGGCTGGGAATATGATATAAAGGCAACATTTTTAGAAATATACAATGAAGTGTTGTACGATCTGCTGAGCAATGAACAAAAGGAAATGGAAATACGTATGGCCAAAAATTGCAACAAGAATGAAATCTATGTGTCAAACATAACGGAGGAAACTGTCACAGATCCCAATCAATTGCGCCAGTTAATGCAGTTGGCCAAAATGAATCGTGCCACAGCATCTACAGTGGGAAATGAGCGTTCCTCGCGTTCACATGCGGTCACCAAGCTGGAACTGATCGGCCGCCATGTTGAGAAACAGGAGGTATCTGTGGGCTCCATCAACTTGGTCGATTTGGCGGGCTCAGAATCGCCAAAGACTAGCATAAGAATGACCGAAACGAAAAACATAAATCGTTCGCTCTCTGAACTAACGAATGTGATTTTGGCACTGCTCCAAAAACAGGATCATATACCGTATCGCAACTCAAAACTAACCCATTTGTTGATGCCTGCATTAGGTGGTAATTCCAAAACCCTCATGTTTATCAATGTCTCGCCGTTCCAGGATTGTTTTCAGGAGTCGGTCAAATCCCTGCGCTTTGCCGCATCCGTCAACTCTTGCAAAGTGGCCAAGGCAAAGCGCAATCGTTTCTTGAACAATTCCAACAACAGTAGTTGCTAAATGTAAAATATTGTCGATTCACGACCACGATTATTATTATATGAATTGTCAGTTTGTCATTTGTATATCTCTTTTACTTTTTTAATAATTGATAAAGCATAATCCAAATTTTTACTTCTCTTTGTTATTACTTAATTTATAATTGTATCAAAACAAAACAAACAAATAAAAGTAGATTACTGATTACGTCTGTGTAGCGCCTACGGCCTGTCGTACTTCTACCGGGATTTTCTCAACCAGCTCTTGGTGATTCTCGCCACTGCTGGCGAGCACACCACGTCGATTGACATGCTCCACATTTTCATGGTATTCGTAATGGTCGCCATTAATATTGGTCAGGGTGCCGCCACTTGCCTCCAGCACAGCCTCCGGTGCACAAGTGTCCCATTTCTTGCAACCGGGCGTAGCAAATACATAGGCGTGTGCTTTACCTTCAAGCAATTGAAGCACCTTAAAGCCGGCCCCACCTACCTTAAGCACTTTGCTGGCATTGAATACATCCACTGCCTTCTGGTGCAATGCATTGGAATGCGAGCGGGTGGTTGTGATAATAAATTCATTTGCTGGCGGTTTCACAGCCGTAAATCCACCAGTGCCTAAGCCTTTGAGACCCCAAATTGTACGGCCCAACTCGCCGCTGGATTGTTTATAGAATGGCTGATGAATAATGCCACCTACAGCTGAGTTCTTTACAGCTATGCCAATGAGCACTGTCACATGTTCCACAAATCCTAAGATGGAAAATACATTCAGATAGAAGTTTGTTATAACTAGTATAGCGGTAAAGCAAGTCACCTTGTGTAAACTCTGCAGTGCCATCTAGTGGGTCAACCCATATTACAAAGTCCTCAGGCTGTGCATCTTTCCAATCCGCCGGGCAGTCTTGCTTAAGGAATGCTTCATCCTGTTCGCCGACCAACCAATCATCGCACACATTCAAATCGGATCCGCCCTCCTCACCAATAATCTTTATGCTGGGAAACTTCTTTGCCAACGATGCGATAATGCATCGTTGTGCAGAACGGTCAGCTTCTGTTTGTGGATCATTTTTGCCTTTGTCGACAATGCCCAGGTCGCCCTGCTTGAGGACATCGCGTATGATGACGCCGGCGCGTTTGGCAGTGTTAATGGACAATGCCATTATTCGCATAATAAGAGGAGCGTTTGTGGCCATCTTCTTAATTCTTAAGTGGTTCTGGACTTGGAATGATTTCTATTGCGAAATACTTTGCGCTTTCACTTTAGTTTATGCACAAAAGATAGCAAAACAGCTGTAAGCTGCGCGTCCAGGCAGGGTACGCAGCTCATACGCTTGCAAAATTTAGTGGGTAAAATATTAATGCAATAATATTCTAATAATATATTATTAAAATATTAAATATTATTTTAATAACAGAAATATGACGCTTATAATTTTTATTTAATTTATTTATTTACAAATTTTATAATATAATAAATAGCTTATATATAAAAGTATAACAATATGAGCTTCTAACATCAGCATACTACCTTCAATGATCAACATACTAATAGTCTGGCAACGCTTTTATGTAAGTGGCAACGCTGCGGCAAATACAACCTTTGGACCCCCAACCACCCCCTCTTATATTCAACAATATCTGCTGTTGCTCGAGAGGTAAATTAACATAGTGCACGATTAATAAAATTAAATTAGGTATATATATAATTATTAGTTTCAAATTTCTTAGAAAATGGCTCGTGTTTTGGTTGGTGTAAAGCGTGTGATCGACTATGCCGTTAAGGTGAGTAAATTTAGTATGAAGCTCCGTTAGATGCTTCCTCTTATCACTTGTTGCGCTTCGTTTTGCGTAATCGTTTTTATTATTTTTAATTAAATGTCTTTCGATTGGGACTGTTTCAGGTGCGCGTGAAGCCGGAGAAAAATGGCGTTGTTACTCAAGGTGTTAAGCACTCAATGAATCCCTTCGACGAGATTGCCGTCGAGGAGGCTGTCAAGATGAAGGAGAAGAAGCTGGCAACTGAGGTAATTGCCGTGTCTGTGGGTCCCACGCAATCGCAAGAGGTCATTCGTACTGCCTTGGCCATGGGCGCAGATCGTGGCGTGCACGTTGAGGTATCAGCAGCTGAATATGATCTGCTGCAGCCAATTCATGTGTCCAAAATACTTGCCAAGCTGGCACTGGACGAAAAGGCTGACTTAGTTATATTGGGCAAGCAGGCAATTGATGATGATGCCAATCAGACGGCACAGATGACCGCAGCCGTCTTGGACTGGCCCCAAGGCACATTCTGCAACAAGGTGGAGAAGACGGATGCGGGCTTAACGATCGCTCGTGAAATCGACGGCGGCCTGGAGACCATCAAGACCAAATTGCCAGCGGTACTCAGCGCAGATTTACGTTTGAATACACCACGTTATGCCACGTTACCTAACATCATGAAGGCCAAAAAGAAGCCCCTGAAGAAGGTCACACCCAAAGATCTGGGCGTAGATACCACGCCACGCATTGAGGTTATATCTGTTGAAGATCCACCAGTGCGTCAAGCGGGCGCTGCTGTTGCCGACGTGGATGCTCTGGTGGCTAAGCTAAAGGCTGGTGGTCATATCTAAGCGAGCAACCCAGCAAAATTGTGAGCAAAATTCTATGTTCTATTTGATTTTGAACTCAAATTACTTTCTATCAGAAACGTGCATTTATCTAGCCTCTAACGATTGATGTGCCGATTGAGAGAGCCAAGTGTCCCCGTAGTGCTTTAAGTCAAATTCAATGTCTGCTTTTTATTTTTGGAATCTGTCGTGTCAAGCCTTAACGAATAAATTGAAGTGATGCTATCATAAACAACGACTATGAGATACCCTGCATTTCTAGCGGGCTTTCTGCTTCAATCATTCTAACTTATCTCAAGACAGAAATAGTAAAATGCACATACACACACACACTAACACACAAACTAACTCACGTCACTCGCTTGTGATTATAAAACTCAATGTGGAATGTGATATTGAACGAGAACTATTCGATCTGCGTAAACTTTACATTCTAAACTTGTTATTACCTTCGCACTTGAGATGTGCGAAATATTTAAGTTCGAATAACTGAAGCTCGATATAGCCTGATCGATTTGTTATCGATGTCTGTTGCTGTTGAGCCTGATCGAGAGTAATTGCATATATCACAGAAACATCATACCATATTTGCCCATTTTCAATGGGTATTCAAAGTGCCACGAGGTCGTCTAGTGGTCAATTTTGGCATACATCCGTCACTTCCTTTTCAGCGGACGTGGGTCAACTTGACGCACCAAATCGGAAAAATTTCCTTTATGTGCGGTCGTGCACGTTCCTAAATGGTCTGATCGAGTCACAGGCAGAGGTCAATTCATTTCATTTAATATACTTTATTTAGCAAGTCAAATAATTGTTCATTTTATTCTTTCTAAAATTATATAGTGTAAATATAAAAGTAAAAATTTGTATATAAACTTTAGAAATTAAGTTTTGAGCTTAACAAGATTAAGAGATATAAATTGTTATATAAGTATATATGTATATATAAAAAATATGACGGACACGAGACGCATAGCAGGCAGGAAAGACAAAGACATGGCAGGAGCTGGCATAGGAAAATTGCACCAGGTTTTTTTTTTGTTTTCCATTTGTATAAAAAATGTAAGATTTTCGAGTTTTTCAGAATTTGCTTAATTAAGTAATTATTTGTGTTTGTTTTGAGGTCTTCGCATATCCAATTTTTTTTATCACTCTGCTTCAGCAGCAGCTCGATTAGTCTGAAGTTAATTGCGTGCGGCCGGTGCCTTTTCCTTGTCGCTGAATAACAAAATGCGTGTTAGCATTGTCGTAATGCAGGGTATTTGCTTCTGTTGATGCATTTCTGGAGTGTCTGGTGTGCAGGACTCAAAGTCAACAGCGACACGCTGGCAGACGAAGGTGAGCAGGGTGAGTATGTCCAGACGCTTGCCATTGGCGGCCAGCTCAGCGCACAGACTCTGCATGAACCAACTGCCACGTGTGGTGTTCCTCCACGAATAGAAGCCCGGTATGGTGGAGTAGGCAATCAGGAAATCGGCATGGATGGGTATCTTGTAGCTCATAGAGGAGTCGCCATCCGTTTCGGTGCGACCAGATACCATGGTGACGCCCGCATCCAAACTATCACCCTGGCAGGCCTGTATAAAGAACAACTTGGGCTTGCCCGCCAGTGTGGGGCAATGATTGGCTGTGAAGTAACTCCAGATATTTTCCAGTTTATATTGCGTATCCTTCGCATATATATGGCCCATTTCTCCGTGCGAGAGTATGGCCACCAAAATGCAATCGTTGTGCTCATGATTCTGTGCCGCAGCATATTTAATTGTGCTCAGAATCTCCTGATAGCGACAATCCTTATACACACTAACATCAAAATCCAGCTGCTTGAGCACCCGAGACAAGTTCTCACAGTCGACATTTGTGCCTGCGCGCGCCTTCAAGGATTGCACAGTGAAGTGCTCGTGATTGAAGATGATGGCCATGCCGCGATTCTTGTGCCGCATATTGTATTCGGCTGCATGTCGATCGGTCACCATTTTGGCTACATATTTGTGATAGCCAGACGAACCGTAGCCATTCAATGCCAGCTGACCGATGGCGCCGCTGCCAAAGCTACTTTGGTTGTAATTTGTCGAGGTCGATGCACTGTTGCTTGAGCCCACGGAGCCAAAGGCATCGGTTAAGTCGTCTGTGTTGGTACCAGCCTCGACGCGAATGCCTACCTGGTCTGTGGACTCTATTTCGTTGTTGATATTGCTGTTGGCGGCCATTGTTAAAAATTACCCTGTGAATATTAATTTTGATGAGTCACACGGCGCGGTTATTGTTGTCCAGGCAAACAATAAATGGCGAAGACGCTAATAATGCTACCTTGGTGAACGTTTGTATTAAAATTGCGGACACTTGTTGTTACAACAAAGAAATACGATGCGAAACTGCAGCACTGCAGCAGTTTGTCTAGTTTTGTACTCTCTTTGTTTGTTTTATGTTACGATTTTCGCAAACTTAACATAGCTGCATACTGTTAATAACAGCATGCTATACTCTTACCGGTAAATTGCGCAGTTTAAATTTTAAATTCTACTTGTTTCTGATTATTCAGCAACAAATGCTAAATGCTTTATTTAATGTTCGATTAATATCAACAAATCAAATTAAGTTTTATATAAATGATGATGTTGATATTGTAGTGCAAGCTACAATTGAGCACCTTACTCAGCGCAACAGTGTGGTGAATTTCAATATGCAACTCACTCTGATATGCAAATATTGCATCCCCAAAGGTGCATTGAACTCACATTTCTAAAATATAAAACTATAAATTAATCAAATACATATTTTATTTGTTTTAAATATACATGAGTTAAGCATGGTGTATTACATTTGTTTATTGATATGAACGTATTAAATATACACTAAATTACTTTATTTTTCGTTCAATGTTTCACGCGCGCGCTTTTGGCTTTGTGACGTCACAGTGTCCATTTAACACACACCGTACTTCTCAGTTGTGTTTACAGCTGCTAAGTGGTGAAATTATCTTAACATACTAATGTAAACATACATTCAAACGTTGGTAGAATGGCTAGCAAGGCAAAAACTTGAAATCCTGTAAAAGTATTTTATATCCATAATTAGAATTGTTTTACTGATGTATATAAAAAGTGCGCACCATATATGTAAGAATATTGGCCTAATCGTAATCAAATGTAAGTCCGCTTCCCCTTAAATGCTGCTCGGACCACGAATCAAATCGTTCCGATATTTCATCAGTCATATGATTTCGCCAGTCGCCAACCTTGCCCTTGCGTATGAACTTCGTCTCCCGCTGTGGAATTAACGTTTCCATATTGATAGCCCCGTTGCTTTGCATGCTATCAAATTGAAGGTGTTGGCAAATTCTCTTCATATTGTCGTCGCTGAGCAGCTCCGAAACATTCAGGAATTGAGCACATCGTTTTATTACGGCAGGCAGATCACGCACCATATCCTCGTATTTGATAAATAATACGTTGTCATCGAAGCTGCGCTTCCAGAAGGGCAGCACATGCTTCCAATACGAGCCCATGGGCGTGTGCCCGCCCAGAAAGAGTTCCACAAATTGTTCAAAGTCTCCATTGATGCCATGCAGCAACTTGCAGTAGTGGTAGTAGGATACGCACAGATCCTTGGGATTGCGTGCAGTGTACACAATCTTTGGCTTGATCGTATCCAATTGCGAGGGCAGCAGCTGCCAGGAGAGGTGCGAGCGTGCATAGCGCGGGCGTGGCAGATTCTTTACCAGCTCCACTGTGTTGCCAAAGGCATCGCTGTATGAATGTTAGAGCTATACTTGTGTACCTGTAAGATGTAGGCAAGTTGTCTTATACGTACGACACCCACTGATGGTGATCCGTGCTGAACAGTGCGGACAACTCGATCAAGGGTGCTCGCATGCGCAAATCCTGTTTGGCCGCTTCGTAGTCCAGCTGATGGCCCAGCAGCCAGATCATCTCCTGCGCCCATGTCGAGCCGGTGCGTGGATACGACACCATCCAAACGTCATCTTTGTAGATGGGCAAATCCCGTATGGATTCACCCATTTCGATGTACTTGCGTGGTATCACTAGCCGATCCGGCAGCACCTCCACAAAGCAATCCTGCACTGGAAATACCGCATTTGTGCGCCGCACTATATCCGCATCCAATTCTCGATAGGTGAGCTGCATGTCTGTTGCTACCTTTTCTCTGCACTGTCTGCCAACGACTGGCAGCAACAGCCAAGTGGAAAGTCAGCCCAAGCGTGCGGTGAAAGTGAGGCTAACGGGAATCCATCTAAGTTTTCCGCAACTTGAACTTGTTTTTGCACCAACCGAAATAAAACCGGCTCTCTGCAATCGCGATTGTAAAGTGCAGCAGCTGAAATTGTCAGCCAAGTGCTCAACGCTTAATGCTTAATGCTTAATGCCTCGGCACAAATCTATCCCACTCGGTTTACCCCACCCACAACATCTAAACTTCTGCTGGGGTTGTTTTCGGATCAATTTACTGTACTATACTATGTTAGTATGTTATTTCAAAGAGACATCGAGCATAGGTACTTAAGTATCTATCCACTCGGGCTTAATAATTGTAAATTGTAGCTGAAGTACCTCCCATTAGCTTCATTGTAATTCAAGTAGCTTCTATCTTACCAGTTATAGTTAGTTTTACAGACTAGTAAACAAACAGATTTTATCTTTTTTAAGTCCTACAACTTTTGTTGTTCAATGAACTTAAAGATAAGCGAACAACAGATAAAAGTTCAACATTTCACATTGAAACAAGTTGAAAATGAGTTAAATATTTCTATATATGTATTTGTATTTAGTATTTATATTATATATATAATAAAAAGAATGTATTAATTATTTAATTAATTTTCATACGTCTATCCATCGATTTTTCATATTTCTTTGGTGCTTTTATACAGCTCTGTTCATAAAAATAGTAGCGCCGCACTACACAGGACGTTTTCCGAATGAAAAGGCATATAAAACATATACACATATATTTATATATACAACTTTTTTAAAACAAAATATGTATATTTGATTTTTGCATTAAGTTTGGCAAATTTTTCATATAGTTTTATGAAAACTAAGTAGAAATCTTATTTAATGCAAATCGTGACTTATTGAAAGCAAGAAAATATGATTCAAAATAAATTTCTATATAAAAAGATAAATGTTAAATATGTAGAATGAAGAAAAATCTATTAAGCATATCATATATATACTATATATATAACATAATGCTTGAAAAAAACACCAATTATATATTAAAAGATATATAAAATAAAAATATATAAGAGTAAATTACCTCATCGAGCTCTGCGCCATACGTGAGGAACCATTAAACTTCACAAGACATCCAATAAAATTAAGATTTATTGCGGTTCGTAATACTATTTACATTTGAAATTTTTTGTTTTGTTTTCCGTTTCTTTTTTAATTTAAATATCAATTATTAAAACTATATCATCCTAATAAGCACGCTTAACAGTCGTCGTTGGTAGTTGGAGCAACTACAACTCGTTGTGCACGTATTCCGTGGTCACCTTGGCCTCGCCCTCGTGGAAGCCAATGCAGTCGACTGGATACTTAACCTGTGCAGCACAATTGATCGATAAATAGCAAATAGTATAACGGTAAACATTGGAATGGTTAGACGGATGCTCACCTCGCAATTATATGGCGCATTGATTACACCGAATAGAGTCCAGAACGGTGTACCGGTTTCAGTGCTAATGAAGATCGCGGCGCCCATGCTGCCGATCTTAACAATTTTTGGACTAACGCCAGCAATGAGACCGCCAGCTGCTGAGGCAGTCTTCGATTTCTTCGACTCTTGCTGCTGTTGCTGCTCGAGAGCAGCTGCATTTAGCTGACAGAGCACATAGCGATCGCATTGCGGCGACTTAGAGATGTATCTGTAGGCGCGATGGACTTTTAGCACCGGTTCGATAACCTGTTTTGATGCGTTTATCGAACAATCGTAGGAAAAAGAGAAAATTGTTGTAGCGTAATTAATTGCATTTGTGCTATCTGCTTGGCTTAGATTTGATTTGTTTTCAATTCCAATTCAGTCTGTAGCTTGAACTTACTTCTAGGTTGAGCGTATCCGTTAATCGATCACTGATCTCGGTGGCATTGAACTGCAGCAGGCCACGTGCTTGGCCCAGTTTGAGCAGCTCCTTGGCATAGCCAACAGCGGGCTTCACGTATTGACGCGAATCAATTTTCACATTCAAATGATGCTTGGCCACGTGGTTCAATAGATTCGAAATTGTTTCGCTAGGGCGTGCCGGATCGAAGTAGGTCTGCTTGGGATAACCTTGAGATTTCAATAGACCGTTAAACATGATTTGCGCCGTCTGGAAGTATCTGTGGAAAGTGCAAAAAGAAAAAAGAAAAGGAAAATCAAATTGTTGCTCATATAATGCTGACGCAGCATTATTAGAGTGAAAGGGCCGCTAGAAAGTGGAAGTTATTATTGTTGTCTAATAACAATGATCATGATGATGTTGCTGATGATGGTGATGATGATCATCATGATGATGCGCGAGGGCGTCTACAAAAGTGCCAAAAGTTTTGCATGTGTATTGTGTGTTGATTTAGCTTGACCCAAATATACTCCACTCAAGTATTTGCTTTGCCTTTGGCCCACTTCCTCATCAAACAGGTTTTGCCAACAACAACAACAACAACAAGAATAAGAAGAACCGTGCATACAAAATTAACCGTTCTGGCATTCGTATGGTTTATTTGTATGCTTAATGATGCCATCGTCTTTGTAACTGTAACACACACAGACACAGGCAAAGACACGCACACAAGCAAACGCGCGTGCGCGCACACCCAAATCCGAAAAAGCGAAGCCTGCAATTGGATTTGGACTTGTATTCTCTTTCCTTCTTCTGCCTCTTCCCCTTCTTCTTATTGTTGTTGACCAGTCAGATTAACAATCATGTTCTAAAAGCTGCCAGCACTAAAAAAGTGTGTCAAAAGGTAAGCGAGCGAGCGACCGAGCTGGCTTCAAACATGTTCGATGCCAAACAGGTAGCAGCTAACGGTAACTCTACAGGCAACGGCAGCACGAAGCTGTTGCGTTGCTTTAAAAATGTACTCGCATTTGTATTGCAATTAGACGTAGGAATCGCTGAGAGTTAGAATCGTATCACAGTAGGGTGCTAAACGGCTTAATACCGTTAAGACAGAAAATCGTGTTCCCTAATTAACACGCATCGATCAACCGGGAGCCACTCACCTGAGATAGTTTTCCGGATTCGCTATATAACTGGCCCAATCAGCCAAGTACAATGTGGCCGATTTGATCCAGCGACGACGGAAGGATTGATTATTCAGTGATTCGAACAGTTTATCGTAATCGACCTTGCCATCGCGACCCTTGAAGCCCTTTACGTAAAGAAACCAAAAAAAATCGATTAATAATTATCGATTACATATAGCACGCCTCTGCCTACTCATAATATAAAATCAAAATTTTAAGAATTATCGGAACATACCTTCATTATCTTGTTGACGCCAGACTTCTCGTAGAGCGCATCTGCCAGTTCCGAGTTGGAGAAATGATCCCACAGCACGTGCACATGCTCCAGGAACGGGGGCAATACCCATGCATGGCTCTTGTGGCGCTCCTGCGTGTGCTGACCCTCGGGTCCGGCGAAGGAGCTAACTGCTTGCATGACCAGAGGCAACAGATTCATGAAACCATTTTCCGACTCTGGCTCCTCATCGGAGACGGCTCTCTTTTGCTTCTGGTGCGGTAGTGTGGCGGGCTTTTCGGCTGCGCCTTGGTTGCCCATGAAAGCGGATGCCACTTGCAAAATGGTGTCCAGGCCAATACCAGAACCGCCGCCGGCGCCGCCGCTGTTGCTGCGCTTCTGTGCGTCGCCCGTATCCTCGTCATCGCCATGGGTAAACATTTCCAGGACATTGCCAATGATTGAGGGATCGAAGCCTCCACCAGCTCCATTGCCGCCACGTGCATTGTTGGCCAGCATGCTGCCTAGGCCAGAAAGGATTTGCATGGCCGCGCCTCCACCACCGCCGCCGCCGCCTCCACCAGCTTTGCCATTGGCCTGCATAAAGCTGCCAATTAGGGAAGCGACACCTGCCAATCCAGAGCCAGCGCCGCCGGCAGCACCGCCGCCGCCGCCATTGTGATTCGACAATGCCTCCTGTATGAAGACAGATGCCATGTCCAGTAACGGATTGGACTCCTCCTCGTGAGCCACATGACCATACGGCTGTGCGCAGAACAACGCCAGCAAAAGCAGCGCCCGTTTCACATACATTATTTTTCTTTATATTCTTTTCGGCAAGAACTTTCACAATCACACACTTGAGATACTTTTTTTTTTTTAATTTAACTATTATTTCTTTTGTTGCTGGGCCAATTAAACAGCAACAACAACACGAGCAACTCGGCCGACGCTTCACTGGCTTGAAAAATTGCAAGACAAAATCCCAAATCGTTTGTTATTCTGCTACAGTAAATTATGAATGTACATATATATGTTGACGCATAGGTATGTGTGTTTAAGCCCGTAGCGCAGCAAGCACAGCCAACCCAGACGAAAACTTTCTTTCTTCTGTGCTTTGAAGTCGGTGTGTAACACTTCTTAAGTCGCCCGTCTGAGCCGCTGCAACATGTTGCATTCGATCTCGAGCACAGCTGTGCTCACTGCGCGCTCTCCTCCGCTTTGAGCACGAACTTGCGCGCGCGCGCTCTCTCTCTCTCTCTCTCTCTCTCTCCCTCCCTTTGCTCATTCTTCACGCCTGCGCCTTGCTGGTTGTCCACGTCAGACTGCTTCCCGCATAAACATGTACATGACGTGTGTTTGCCTGAGTATGTGTGTGTGTGTATAAAAATACTTTTGCGCCGTTCTATGGCTGTGTTGTTAGCTTTTAACTTTGTTTATATTTTCTACCCACTTTCTTTTTACACACACATTCTTTGTGTCGGTCTTCTTGCTATGGTGTGGTCAAAGTCAATGCTTTAGCTTCAATTCTCTTTCGTTCTTTATGCAAACTTAACACACAGACACACACACATATATGCTTACTCTTGCAGAATGGAATTACATGACAACAATTTTTACGACATGCTCAAACTGTTATTAAAGCTCATCGAAGCAAAGAAACAATATTACTTGAGCTTTGCTAGTTTAATAACAAAGCCAGTTCAATATTTTTGTCAATTTCATTGAATTGTATTTAGATATTTTTATATTTGTTGACTAATAAACATAAACATTACGTTTTCATTAATATTTATCTTATTGGGATTAGTTAAAACTCATTTAATTCATTATTCTAAGTGTAGTAAAATTTCGTTGTTGCTGCGAACATTTTAAGTCCATGTAGCAACATTAATTTTTAGTTATCCAATGCAAATGTATACAAACTTAATACAAATGGACTCGATTCTGTCACTTCGTATCGTCTTTGGTGTGTGTCATGGCCTATTTGTTGTTAGTTCTTTCACTTGTATTCGAAATGAATAATAAATTATTCGATTTGTGCCAGTTACATAAATTTTACTAATCGTCCATACCGTGGCGCCGACGATCCAATAAGCATGTGGGTCCAAACAAAAAATAAGGAGTGAAAAACTTACTAAAAAGACTTGCTGGCTTCATGTGCTTCAATCGCTCGTAGATCCAATCGACTGTACTCTAAGGGGGAGAAGTATTTCAATAAAAATACATCAATCTAACATATGTTCTATGAATCTTACATCGATGCCCACGCCTGCCAATGAGGAGCATTCGTATATTTTCCAAGGACGTCCCTCGATGCGCTTCAGGCCCAGCAGCTCAATAATCATGGAGCTGGGAAGTGCACCAAATGCATCCTGTTTATTGGCCAAAAGCAGCAAAGGTACGTGTGAGAGTCGCTCGTCGAGCAGAACCTCGCACAGCTCACAGCGTGCCTCGCTCAAACGAGATGCATCCGAGCTGTCGATAACAAAGATCTATGGACGAGGCCAGCTGCCCTCATTAGCGGTGCTAGTTTGGGATTCATGGGTTCCACCTACCAATATGTTGGCATCCTGATAGAATGTATGCCACGACTGACGCATTCTCCATTGGCCACTCAAGTCACGTAAACAAACTCTCAGTTTCTTAAATTTCAAATGTCTTTCCGTAAGGTCAACCGTAGGAGTAACTTGCTTTACCTGTCTTAACGGTATATAGGAAATGCTATAAAATCGAAAATCAATTTGCTCTTACGGCATCATCGGTTTCCATGCCGAGGCGGGCCGCTAATGTGCTTTTGCCCGCATTGTTGAGGCCCAGGATGAGCACATTGAACTCCGGCTTTGGCGACTTTCGCAGCTTGCCCAGAAATGTGGCCACGCCTTTGTATAGATTAGACATTTAGGGCTATTGCAATTTGTTTGTGTTTGTTTATATTTTGGAAAGTGTCACCCATATACAACCTACTACTAAGATTTGTCTACTACGATGGGTAACAATTTTCAATTGGGTGTCAACAAAATGATAATGTTATAAATGTTTAAAGGCACTTTTAATTACTTTTTCTTTTAAACAAACAATATTCACATCAGCATTGGCTGTTTTCATTTTACATTTTCCTCTTTTTTACAACTACTTTTTCATATTTTTGCACACCCAGTCCATGCCTTCCTTGATGCCAGTGCCATCGACAGCTGTGCAGGCTTTTATTTCCCAGCTGCGGTCTTCCAGACGCACCAGGCCCAACGCTTCGGCCACTTCGGAGGCAGTCATGGCATTGGGCAAGTCCTGCTTGTTGGCAAAGACCAGCAGGGGCACTCTCTTCAAGCGATTGTCCATGAGCATCTCAAAGAGCTCGCTGCCTGTTTCCGAGAGGCGAGTCCGATCCGTGCAGTCTATAACGTAGATCTAGCATAGTAAAAAGAGTATTCAAGAGTAGCTGATGATTATCATATTGCGAGCGCAATTACCAGGACATCTGTATTGGCAAAGTAGTTCTTCCAATAGGGCCTTATCTTCCATTGGCCGCCAATGTCCCAGACATTCAATTTGAAGCCATCTGCTGCTACGGACTTGATGTTAAATCCGGCGGTAGGCGTGACCTGCGAATGATTGTAATGTCTATTAGGAAAGCAAAAGCGCATCTGTTCCATAATACTCACCGTAGTTATATCCTCGGATGCAAGTTGTTTGAGAATTGTTGTCTTGCCGGCATTATCCAAGCCGAGCAGCAGAATACGCGCCTCCTTGTCGGGATTGGGGCGCAGCTTGCGCAGCAAAGAAAGTAGACCCTGTAATGAAAGAAATTTGTTGAAATTAGTTAACGCCTTTTATGCAAATCAACATTATCCAGCAAGCTATAGAAAAGTTGCAGCTAGTTACATTTTATAGACTAGATATCCAATTTGAATTTTTAAAATGCGATTAATTGGCGCGTTGTATGCAAACCGATATTATCGAGTGAGCTTTCGTGCTTTTTCAGCTGGTCACACTCTTTCAGCAACAGCTGGTGATGAGTGCAAGTTATCGATGTGCTCCCATGCTCACGTTGCCATGACAACAACATATAATAAACAAATTATAAATTGGATAATTCGAGGCGATTTAAAAACAATATAAAATACTATAATTACTAGTACTATTATTTGCTCAACGATATGTAATGAGTGGGTGTACAACCTACCATTTTGTCAAACAACTGCAATACTAGCACGTTCGGCGACGATCGGTTAAATTAATTTCTAGCACTTGAATTTGAAAAACTGATTAAAAACCACCACCAAAAACAACGACAACATTACAGGTGCAATGCTAGCTAGCAACTGAACAACGGTCGACCAAACACAATAGAGCAACAGAGCAGACACAGGTAGCGCCCCGTTTCGAATCGCCCCGCTGCGCAAACGCTCTCCGAGAAGCGGAAGATGCGACGGTTGCTATTTACGGGCTTCAATGCATTTGGTCAGCACAATGCGAGCAACACGGAACGCACTTCCGGTCGAGTCAATGCCCTAACCGGTTCGTAAGTGTGCAACAAGTTGATGTGCTCAAATTAAATGCTAATTCTGTATGTTTAAATCCTTTATAGAAATCACTGCACCAGGTGATAGCAAAGGGAATGCAATTGTTGCTCTGAGCTGGCGTTACACGGCTTTTGCTATGGGCAACAAGCTATGGCTGCAAGGTCTGCTCGACTCTAGCCCAGACGAAAGCTTGGAAGTGCATGCAGCTGCAGAGATTAAAGCTCTGGCTGCATGTGATGCACATTGTCTGGTGTTGCTACAGAATGGTCAGTTATATAAGTTGCAAGCGAAGCTGAGTGCTACACTGCTGCCCATCAAACTAGAGACAGCTGCTGCAAAGCGAGACATATTTGGCCAAGCAAAGGCAGCCGAGGCAATCTCAGTTGCCCACATTGCCTGTGGCTCGCATATCAACGTGGCCATCAGTGCAAGGAATGCTGTCTACAGCATACCCAGTTGCCTGCATCGCTTTCCGCAAGGTGCGTGGCGTGTGCAGCAGCTCGAGTGTGGACACGAGCACGCGCTGCTGCTCAACGGCAATGGCGATGTCTACAGTTGGGGCAACGGGCTGTAAGACTTCTTTAGTCATTAATTTGACTCTGATTTAAGGCATTTGCATATTTCACAGACGTGGGCAACTGGGTCACGAGACTTTGGGTGTGGAAGAGCGACCCCTTTTACTCGAGCCTCTGGCGGGTATTAAGGTAAGTAAATAGACTCGTGCGTCATTTTGTCAGGTGTGTCATTCGTTATCTTGTTATTCAACTAATTCCTATTCTTTAGATAATACATATTGCGGCTGGTGGTTGGCATAGTGCAGCAATCTCCGCATTTGGCGACCTCTACGTTTGGGGCTGGAATTGCAATGGCCAGCTGGGCATGCGCGTCATGAAACCGGATGGCTTGCTTAAGGAGCCCACGGTTTATCCCTTGCCTCAACTGCAGGATTTGCCTCCATGTTGTGCAGCTGCTGAAGAAACTGATCTTTGTGCTCCTCTAAAGGCTTACGCCGGCTCTCGTCACACGCTCATCCAACGCAGTTGTGGACGACTCTGGGCTAGTGGCTGGTGTGCACACGGCCAACTTGGCAAGCAACCGCCCAACTTGAGCTACTTGGATAGTTTTTATGCTGTGCAGCAGGTGCCTAAAGACTGTGATTATACTGTTGTCTGTGGTCCTTGGTCCACTTTGATTACCTTGTCTGAGTAAATGGTATAAATATTTTTATATTTCTTATATTTATTTATGTGTATTTATTTATATTTAAATTTTGTTTTCTGTTAGTTTTTCACTTTTTAAATAACAGTTATTTTGTTTCATCTTCTAAAGCTGGCTGCTATAAAACTTAGCAACGAATATGGTCGTCTCGCTCTAGCACAAGCTGTCTTGACTAACGCTCTAGCAAGGTTTCGCACCAGCTAAATAACGTCTTTTTGAATTTGATGGAAAATTGAAATTTAGTTAGAATTAGTTAAACACAAAGGTTTTAAATACATATTCCTTCCAGAACATAGACCATTTTATACAAAGCAGCCTTTTATACAGTTGACGTAAGCAGTTACAAAATTTTCATTGAATAAATTTAAATAAAAATAAAAATAAAAAAAAAACACCAAAATTAGGGAAAGGCAGATTAAGTTAAGAGCTGCTGCCCTACGGCTAAACATGGCGTAAGTGTGTGATGAGTGTTGTGTCCAAGATGATTTGATAACCGAATGCCAAAAAGTCCCAGCATATTTTTTGTGCTGTTCTGGCGGATTGGAGTGCATCTGCTGTATCCCTACAGATATACGAATCGCTCGATTCAGGATGCCCTGGGCGATGATAATCTGGTGTGGGTGTCCAGCGATCGATGGCAGAACGAGCAAGTAGTCGTCATGCTGCTGCGCCAGTCGATCGAAAACTTTCTCATCTTTATTCTGATTATGGAAATTATGCGCTCCATTCAAGAGGGACGTAACATGCCTCTAATGGTATAATGTGGCGCCGCATCGATATGGCTTAGATACGAATATTAGTTATATTTATTAATATAGTTTTCAATCTGGCAGCTCACAGTACATCTTACAGTAGTAAATCGCTTCGAGTCACTCGACTCTGGGGCATATCATTTTTTTGTTGCTTTCTATTTTTTATTTATTTAATTTTTTTCTTTTTTGTTGTCTTGGGATAGGTCCGAGGCCGATGTCCCACTGTTGCCTCGCTCGCTGCTGCCGTCGCTGTCGTTGTCGTTGCAGTCGCGCGTGTAATCAGTAAATTTTATTTTTAAAAATGTTATTAAACAATATTTGCTTTAGCAAAAGTCTGACACGCAGTGCAATCAACTTTTCAGCACTTGTAGATCGTCAGACGCAACGACTAAATCGCTCGCCCCTGTAAGAGGGTTTCTGTATGTGTGAGAGTGTGTGTGTGGGTGTATGGTTGGGTTGGCTTGGGTTGGGTTGGGTTGGGTATTTCTTGGAAGCCGGGTGATAATTTTATTATTGGAATTGCATGGCTTTTCGATTGGAGTATATTTGTATATTCTAAGGAAATGGAAAAGATTTCCAATTTATTTAATAATTATAAATTATAATCAATATATATATATATATATATATATATATATATATATATATATATATATATATATATATATATATATATATATATATATATATATATATATATATATATATATATATATATATATATATATACATATATACATATACATAAACATATATGCATATGATAGAAATTCAGTTAAATATTTTATTCATATTTAATAAAATTCTTAATTCTATTGGATTAAAAGTCTTAAAATTTGGTGCAAAAAACAGAAAGCAGAAAAAATATTTAAAGAAGCTATTTTTTTTAATGTTCCATTTCATTGGTTTTTAAATTTAAAAATTTCAATCGCGATCAGTCGTTCGACCTGTAAAGACGTGAATTCGAACAGCCTTCGCTTAAGCTCTACTGCTGCAGAGTTCTAAAAATAGAACTTTGCGGTGCATTCTTCAACGCAACAGCAACAAAAACCGCACACGCAGCGTTTTCTTATCGCTTGCTTCCGCGTAACTCAATTGCTTTAATTGCAATTTACGAAATTTCGTCGCTTGGCGCGAGTGCGCCTGCACTCAAAAGCACAATCCGCGATGACATCTAATGTCAATAACCTCGCTACAGCTGTAAAGGTAAATGCAGAAATGCAAGCCCAGCTTAACGTTGTGATGGCAAATAGGCAAGCCTCCATCATGCCAATAAACTCAAAAATAGATATCGCCTCCGTGCAAGGCATCACTAACAACAAAAACACGAAACGTAAACAGCCAAATTCACCAAAAACCATCAAGAAAAGGCTCATCTTCGACGAACCAAGCACCAGCAATGCAGCATTAATATCAGAAAATCGATTTTCACTGCTCGTAGAAGAAGATGAAGACTACAGCGAATCACCTGTAGCTCCAGAAGCCCCAGTATTGACCGACCAGCAAACTACACCGAAACCTCGTCCGCCCCCCATATGGTGTCCAAACATCAAGTCTGTGGCCCTACTTCAACAGATAATAGATAAAGTAATTGATGCTAAATCATACGTAATTAAGCCAAAGAAGAATAACATAGGTGTATTAACCCAATGCAGTGAGGACTATCGCAGAGTTATAGACCACTTTACTAAGCTGGAATTGGAGTTCCACTGCTACCAGCTTAAGGAGGACAAACCATATAGAGTCGTGTTCAAAGGGCTTCACTCCAGCACTGATACAACACTAATTAAAAAGGAATTGGAAACCAAAGGCCACACAATTACAAATGTGCACAACCCACTGAGCCGTATGGACAAAACACCGCTAAATATATTTTTTGTTGACGTGGCTCAGGCCCCCAACAACAAAGAAATTTTGGACATTCGAGTTGTCTGCAGGCAACGCTGCACAGTGGAACTGCCAAGAAGATACAACGACCTGACACAATGCCATCGCTGTCAAGAATTTGGACACACACAACGCTACTGCCACAAAGCTCCCAGATGTGTGCGTTGCGCCGGGAAACACGCATCCAAAGACTGCACCCGCGAAAAGGACCAGGCACCAACTTGTGTGCACTGTGAGTTACAGCACCCAGCCAACTATAAGGGCTGCCAAGTATACAAGCGGTTGCGCAAATTGCAATCCCCAGCACAAAAAAGGAGTCCCACACAAACACCGTCTACGGGTCCGAGTACTGCTTCCGAAATTACAAGGCCCCGGAGCATTACCCAAGCCACGAGCTTTGCAACGCCTATTAGTGGTGTTTCTTACGCACAGGCCGCTAGAGGTGGACCGTCAAATAAGAATACCACAAGTGACACTTTGTTCACTGAAATGCTTCAGCAACAACAACGTCAGTTTGACGCAATTAATGCCGAGCTCAAAGCGATGCGAGAAGTACAATCCCAACAAGCAACCATGCTAAACAGTTTAATGGCCATCATAACCAAGCTTGCCTACAAATAATGGCTTTACGTGTGGGTATCTGGAACGCCAATGGCCTGAGAAACAAGACTCAGGAACTGGCTGCGTTTCTCTCACAAGAAAACATAGATATAATGTTAATAACAGAAACTCATGAGTGCCCCACTACACAAATTTTCGGATACGAACACTATCAGGCTCATGGTGAAGGAGCAAACTGCTTTGGTGGATCCTCAATCCTCATACGAGCAACAATACCGCATACACCTTTACTGCCAATTTGCAACGCAACAATGCAGGTCTCAGCCATCACCCTGCCTACGTCTATTGGAGCGATCGAAGTTGCGTCAATTTATCTTCCGCCAAACACTGGTCTGTGTGATCATCACATGGAACAGGTTCTAGGCCAAAGGTTGAATAAGACCCTCATCGGCGGCGACTGGAATGGATGGCACCCATTTTGGGGAAGCAATAGTGCGAATCGTCGCGGAGAAGTCATATTTGAGGCGATTCAAAACTTACAATTCAGCATATTGGCGACTGGAGCCCCCACCCGTTACCCAATTAATGGACACAGGCCCTCGGCAATCGACTTCGCTGTCTACAAAGGCATCTGTGACCGGCAATTGACCATTGAAGAATCCTTGGACCTATCCTCTGACCACCTGCCACTAATAGTCACAATCCACGCGCAGCCACAGCCCTTGCCCATTAGGAAACAACTACTGCCAGCAGGATCAGATTTAGGAGTCTTTAGGCGCGAGCTCCATTACTCTTTGCACATAGAAATGGAACTTAACACTCCTGAAGACGTGGACTACGCAGCAAACAAACTGCAGGAAGAAATAGTCAAAGCTGCGCACCAAGCCGCCCCACCATCTTGCCAAACAAGACAACAGTCTCCGTACAACATCCCCCTCACCTTGGAGGCCCAACACCTACTAATACACAAAAGATGGGCCAGGAGACGCTGGTTAAGATTACGCACGCCTGATGCCAAATCCATGTACAACGAAGCCACGAGGCATCTTAAAGCTGCTCTCGCCCTGCTTCAAAAGAGGTGTATCAGCGATGCGCTGGTACGAGCTGAATCGCCCACTGACGCAGAGTTTCAATTATGGAAATTTACAAGAAAGCTCAAACGGCAGCCAATACGACGTCATCCCATTCGGAGCATTTCTGGTTCCTGGCACATTGGAGACGAAGCTCAAGCTGAGGCTTTTGCAAACCACCTTCAAGACCAATTCACGCCGGTGATTACCGCAGAGGCCTCAGAAATCGAAGCAACAGAAGACATCGTTCTCTCGCCCCTCCCAGCTGAAGACCAGATAACTGGATGTACAAAAGAAGAGGTTCTTGAACACATCAGAAGAGTGAAGGCAAAAAAATCCCCTGGATATGATCTAATAAACGGCAGAGTCCTTAGAGCACTGCCTGACTCCACCATAGACTACATAACTATGGTGTACAACGCCATGCTCCGCATCCGGCACTTTCCAGCCTGCTGGAAGCGCGCCGTGATTGTGATGATTCCTAAGCCTGGCAAACCCGTGGGAGAAATTGAGTCGTACAGACCAATTAGCCTGTTGCCAGTACTCTCCAAAATATTCGAAAGAATATTTCTGGAACGAGTACTGACACATCTGGGACGCCAGGAGGCCATTCCAAACCATCAGTTTGGCTTCAGGAGACAGCATGGAACACCGGAACAGGTTCACAGAGTTGTGCACCATATCCTTGGAGCCTTTGAAGAAAAGATGTACTGCTCTGCCGTCTTTTTAGACATCAAACAGGCGTTTGATCGAGTTTGGCACCTGGGACTGCTGCAGAAAGTGAGGACCACCCTTCCAGCCCCATTTTTCGCGTTGCTATCCTCATACCTTATTGGAAGAACCTTCCAAGTGTCAAGGGGGCAAACAGTATCCTTGACTAGACCAATTATGGCTGGAGTACCACAGGGTAGTGTTCTAGGCCCAACACTTTATACTTTATTCACAGGAGATATGCCAACTCCCGAGCCAAATATAGGAAGTACAGATGCAGTACTCATAGCGACCTATGCAGATGACACCGCCATCTTATCACGTCACGTATCTGCGCAAGAAGCTTCAGACTCACTACAAAAATATCTGGACTCTTTCGGACGCTGGGCAAAACGGTGGTGTATCACCATTAATGCACAAAAGTCTGTACATACTACCTTCGCCACTAGAAGAGGAGATTGCCCAAGCGTTGCATTGGGGCCCACTATTCCCAAAGCCTCAAAAGTAAAGTACCTTGGTATCACTCTTGACAGAAGGCTGACTTTTAAAGCGCACATAAGTCAAGTAACCTCAAAATGCAAAAGCAAGCTAAAAACCCTCGACTGGATGCTGAGAGCTTCAAGCAAGTTGTCTTACAGCAGCAAGGCCGCCATCTACAAGGCAATAGTTGTCCCAACCTTCGTATATGGTATCTCTCTATGGGGCTCCTCGGCGAAGACTACAAGGAACAAAATTCAGACCCTGCAGAATAAAGCACTACGCAGATGGACTGGAGCCAGCTGGTTTGTAAGAAACTCAGTCTTACATAGGGATTTAGCAATTCCCACAGTTGCTGAACTCATTGGGCGACACAGTTCAAGATACGCGGACAGACTTGCAGCGCATCCTAACCATCTCGCAAGCAACCTGGCTAT